GAAGCGTGCACGTAGGTATGTCCTACGCCGTTTGAAGTAAAGAAGAGTAATGGCGTTATTGAATGGCTAGCAACTGAATCCCGCGTAATATCGAACGCGCAATGACAGATCACCTATCTGATAGCCAAAGTTTTATACGAAAATGATAGAAAATGTAGTGCTGAGAATTCAACGCTAGAGGAGATTGTTTGCCACAGCGACAGTTATTGGTCAATAAAAAACTGGGTGAATTGGGAGCGTGGTGACGTGGCCATAAGGTGCCCGTAGGTTTCGGGTTGAAATATGCAACAAAAAGCAACGTAATGTCGGATGCGATTGTCAAACCATACAACCCGTCCAAAAAACGATTTCCTCTGTCTCATTTCATACAGACAAGACCAAAACTGGCTCTAAATAATATTAATTATTTCATAATTAATCCGAAACCCCGGCTGACGCAAACGTTTTTGCACACCACTCTACATCATTGGCTTTATTCGATAATATTTTCTCGGGGGGGGGAGAGGGAAGGAGGGCGTGGCTGTGGGGTCTTGATGCTCGTCACCCTCAACACTCTCTGGCAGTCAAAAAATGAACGCCTTTCGGAACGCCACAGTCAAGCTATCCTCGAGAATGCAGAGGTGCTCAACTAGTATTCTACGACGCTCAGGATCAAGGTGAAAACAAGAATTGAATGCTAGAAGTACTGAGATCGGTACAGTGAAAAAAAAAACTATGAGGCGGATCAAATAAGGTAATAAGGTAATAATGATAAGTAAGGTGAAAGTGATGCGTTCAGTTGTTGGATTTCAAGATTGTTGAGGGAGCGCGTCGAACCAGTACATTGTTAATCAGATGTGATACAAAACATCCAACAAAGGAACCGTCTCTGCAAAATGATCATTCGAGAATAAATTGAGTCATTTATTACTAAAACAGGCCAATCCAGGGTTTGTTTAGTCTATCACGAAAGATATTGGGGAGCATATGCAACCACTGAGCAACGCCTGCACTCATGAACTCTCAAATACCCTCAAATTTTAGACAACATATGAGGGTGGAAAGCAACATGCTAGTTCTCCTTATCAGGTGCTATTGCTATTGTAAATCAGCAGGGCTTTGAGAGTATCACAGCAGCCATATCTGAATCAGGTTGGTTGCTAAATCAAAGCAGTATGATCTCGCAATAACTACAGTGTTAATTTTTATGACATAAAATGTATTCTCTTCAATCAATTTAAGCACAATTTCTATGAAACTGATTTCGCTTACAACAGCAAAGAAACTTCTGATCTAGATTTCTCTGAGAATTTCCACACATTAATCATTTGTGACAGAATGTAAAACGCTAGTTACAGAAGCTTTATCATAAAATTATCTCACATATTCGTGAACATAAGCACCTATTCCAATATAGTATATTTGCAATTTGACCAATGCGTGCCAACTACAATGCATTCTTGTGCATGATTCCAATGGCTCTTGCTTCGGTATGTCAAAAACAGAGTAGCACGAAGTCACTGCTGATCGTAAAGATTAGCACAAAGTGTCTATGCCTTTGAGGCTTTTTCAAAGCTCATTATATGTAGCATCTGTATAATGGTTAGGTTTTATCGCGAATATGTTAGAACGAATAGAAATGGGCACAACACGAAACATATATGCACGAAATTACAGTCAGTAGTGCGAAAACTACATGAAAGCTGGCATTCATCTCGATAACTATAATGTACTCGCTCACCCATGAAAATGCGACTTTAACAAATAATACTTGGCAAGCTCATTTATCTCGTTACAGTGAGACAGTCTCACATTAGCACAGACTCCAAGTGGCAGGTCTTCAATGATTAATTGAAAGACCTGAAACATACGGCTCTGAAGATGGCGAACCTTGCCGAAACGTTACCCAAAACGACTGATGTAATATTCGTGCTGCATTATTAATTGTATTGTTATATGCTTCGCTGATATTCAATAAATAATATCAATAACACCTCGGAGCGGCTAAACAGAAGAAAATACTGATTTATTCAAACTATGTCGAGGTTAATAGTTAGTCAGTCCTGGGACTTATTGCAAAGTGTTCCAGCCAAATATTTCCGACTAGTGAAACAGACCCTGTCTCGTTACACTTTTTTCGTCCATATTGGATTATGCCGATGTAGACACAGCAGCGTTGAGCAGTGGATACTGAACAGGATGCCTTGCTGATTACCATGCAGGATGATTCGAACAGTGGTACCGACTTTAATGAATATTAGTACGAAATAGAAATAGGTAGCACGCGCTATGGCCGAGTGGCTGTGATACTCGTCGCGGCGACCGCGGAGCCGAATCCCACCCTCCCCACCAACACTCGGCAGTCAACAACGAACGCCTTACAGAACACCACAACCAGACTGTCCTCGAGATTGCAAGAAGACGCGCTCAACTGGTATTCTACGACGCTCAAGATAAAAAATAAAGCTCTCGGCGTTACTCAATCACTGAAGGATGCGCCAAGCATTCGTCTTGGAATATCGACTTCCTTTGAGGTGATTTAAGCACATATGGCCTTAACAATGTCTCGCGATGGCCTATCGCTGTATTGAATCAGTGCCGCGTATCCTCCCATACAAGCCGAAGACTAGTCTGGTACCAATTTATCGACCCCGTAGGGATGGATGGCTTGGTGAGCCATGAGCGAGAGATCTAACCGGCGACCTTTTGTGCGACGCAAAGCTCCTCTACCCAATGAGCCACAAGCGCCCTCATCGCTCGAAAAGAAAACGAAAAACGGTATGAATGCTAGTAATGGAATCCACGTATGAAAATAAACACACTGTGAAGATGGATCTAATTAAGTAAAATGGTGATAGAAATGATTATCCATTACATCTATCATTTTCGTTCACACGACATAACTGATAGTATGGGAAAGAAATCAGTGTGCTTCATTTTATACTTTTACATGATACTGGTTAGTCTACTTTACTGAAGTTTCCGATTTTTTCAGCATATTTTTAATTGAAGGGTAATCGTGTCTGTCATCACAGTATGTCTCTTAGTAGAATCACCTTGTAAGAGAGAGTTCCAAATTTGAATTTCTAGACCCTGTGCGGAATGAACCTGTATCACTAGATATATCGTAAAAATCTAATGCTCTTCGCGTCTGTTGAGCAAATAGGGTCCACATAACAGTTCTTATGTATGGAGCAACGAAGGAAAGCTTCACTGAGAGAGGATGTTTCAGTGACTAATTTTTCACTTTAAAAGAGTTGATGATAGAAATATTATAATTCCTTACCTCCTGCCCGCAGTAACTCAGTAGTTATGTGCTGGCTTCTTCCACACTGCCAGCATTCAACATTGGTTGGTTAGTTGATTACTGTAGCAGGTATCAAATAACTAAATGAGGTGGGCTGATGTCTTTTCGGTCGATACGTATCCATTGTACTCACTCACCACAGCTTTGATTTCAGTAATACCAAAATGATATGCTGAGCGCTCTTCTATTGATATGATATAACGGAGGTGTACTAGCTTACAAATCACTCATTAATATTTCAGTCCACTAATGAGTCGAAACGATTTAAGGAGCGAAGAAGCACGTGAGAAGTATTTTGATATGAATAACTATGAAAGCAAGATCTGATCAAAACGGCATAAATTTACAGTAGAAATATGGCGATTTGTAAGCTCAGGAGTATTTAATTCAAAATCTTTTCAGAGCTGGTCGCGAATTATGCGGTGATGTGCACGTGGAGGTGACGCAGGAAGACAACTCAATGGTATACATGATTGAGGATATCAATACGTGTTTAGCTTATTTTTTGAACGTGCCATCTCAAGACATAGAAAAACACCGTACTATTTGTAGATGACAAATGTAGATAATGGAGATTTTGGGGACGTATATAGCGACTTTGAACACGGTATGCGATTATCGTCAGTACACATTGCAGTCAATCAGACTTTTGATTTGCAGCAAATGAACTGCGAGTCATGAAAAGAGAACTCTGTCCAGCACATGATCGAATTTGGAATGAAACGGTAACAAAAAACATTCATGTTAGAGCCCATAGTATTACTATAAAGGCCTTCCGTTCGTTCGAACACTAAAACCATTCGTCGTCTTTTGAATTCTGACTTTGATTGGATCTCCGTGTGATTGATCAATATTCTTCTTTCATTGATGAATCACATATTTAACGGAATTTTCTCCAAAAAAATCCTATTATCGCCAATGTTTCGGTGTTTTCGTCCTCATCGGCTACGATGATTCGCGTCGAGTGTCCAAAGCAGTTGTCTCTCGTATGATGCTGTTCGTCGTATCCGCCATATTGAGGCCAATCGAATCGAGTGGATTACTCGCACGGATGCAGTAGCGTTCACGATTGGAATTGTGTATAAAGGAAAACATTATGGACACTACTTCATTCGTGCAGTAATCCATTTCAATCGATTCGTTTCAATGCAGTGGCTACGAAGACCAGCCATCGAAGGGCGAACTGCTATGAGCACTCGACGCGAATCATCGTGGCTTTAGTGAAGGCAAACTGGCGAAATGTTAACCACAGTAGTGGTGTAATCAACTACTGCGGCCAACCGTTCCTCCAGTAGAGAGCAAAAGACTATCTAAAATCATTTTTCTTTAACCGCCACTTGCGGTTTTATGTTGTATCAATATACCCAATAATGTAGAGTGCTGTGCAAAAACGTTTGCGTCAGCCGCGATTCGAACCCAGATCTCACTCTTTCCGGTAGCGCGTGCTGAATCGTTGCACTTATCTTTTTGAGCTTCTCTTTCTCCATTGTCTGTTGATAAACATGCAATTCACTGTACAAAATAGTATACGTTTGCTCTGAGTTCGAACGCATACAAGAGTTGCGGTTATGGCTTTCCGGCTTCTCTTCTGATTTCACTTATACAGTCGAAAGAATATTTTTGGAAATTCAAAATTTTCAATGTTTTGACTGCTTTTACACAGTCTTATGGTGATTCGAATGTACCTAAGAGAATTGACTGGCGAGCAAGGATTCGACCTAGGACGGGAGTTGAACCCGCGTTCCACCTTTACAGGAGTGTGTGCTACCAGTGCACCACAGAGGCCACCGTTCACCCACCACTCATTCGACATCTCTCTGTCATAGCTGTCAGCCACCAACCTTAAACAGGCTTTGGTCGGGTAAGCAATGTCGCTCCGTAAATCCAGACAAGGCGACGGCCATTATACATACATAAATCCAAGATTTTCTATGTTAGACTGATTTTTCGCAGTGTTAAGATAATTTTCGCAAATTATGATTTACTATCAGACAACTCGTGCTAGCCAGGGATGTTCCTAAATGCCGCGCTCCGATGTACTTCGGAAATTTATTCGTTCAATAGGTTCATCTAAGCTGTGCAACAGGGCTGTTTAACATTTATATTCAAAAACTCAACTAGGAATAATATGCCATCACAAATCCTAGAAAGTTATAGAAATTCAGTACGCCTGTCTGTGTATTTCGAACGTTCGGATCGCCTCTCCCGAATCGCATTTACTCTTTTTTCCAAAAAAAAAAAAACTTATTTTCCAGTACGATCATCGATCACGAGTAATCAAATATTGAGTAGAATTTTGCATGCTATCGCTGGTCTGATGTATATTTTATGTCCTCCATGGCCACCATGGGTGATTAACAAAATAGCGTTTCGAGCTCCACCACGTGGGGAGTATTACTACTTGGTTGGCGGAAAGGTAAATCTAAAATTCATGTTAATCATTCTATCATCAAATCTTGTACATCCATAATCAACTCCTTTGCAAAAAGGGTGCAAAAAAAATTTGTTGTTATGAATATAAGGGCGAGATACACAAGATTTTTCCAAGCTGAAATTTTTTTTATTGTGAAATAATGGAATTAGAGATGGAAATGTTTCTTGCAGAAAGATCAGCGTCACGTATTCTTCAGTGCCAGAGAAGCACATGGTGCTGAAGATTTACAGATTTGTCTACCACATCTACTAAGCCCGCGTGTGAAGACCATTGATATTTACTACCATATTCTTCGATGTAAGGTAAAATGACATGACTAAATGCTAAAAGAAGCAAAATCGATTCATTCAGAACTGTATAACTTCCTACTTAATAGCATGTGGTTTGAAGTAGTTTTCTCAGTGAATGTGATAACATATTTCAAGCCTTTCATGAGGTCTGTTATGGTACTTATATCCTATTACACATATGTTTAGGCTCTTCAGCTTCATTAATAGTGCGGTGCTTTTTAGTCGAATATTAAGGTTTTAATCAATCTATCAGCCATGACCAATCGACTGTTAATCACTACTATGTTTGGTGTTCGTGTCACTGGACATGTAGTGATTTGTTACCACTGCAATGTGAAGTGATATTTTCACTCACGTGCAGTGTAGCATCGTCTTCGTTGATTCCTTTATATGTAGGAAGTATATCCCCTTACAAGGAATTTGCTGAAACGGAAGGCACCGTTTTACTGACGAGGCTACAAGGCCGAAATGTCCGTCTACCACTATGTAAGTGCCATCACAAACCTCGTGAAAGGCTTAAAATGTGCTATCAGTTTATATATTGTTTCAAATGAGGCCTCTGAAAACAGTCAAATAATAAAAAAGATCGTTTACGTACTAGTGACAATGCGAAATTCAGTCAAACATTTCTCTTATGTATAGACATCAGAAGGGAATGATATGTAAAAAATGCTGATTGATTTGTTTAGTAAACGTTTATCAACTCAGTATAGACGACCTCATCCGCCATGAAGCTTTGAAACTCACCCTGACTATTTACTTCCATAGCATCTTGAAAAAAGGAAGAAAAGCCGAACTTTTATTGTTAAGAGACGGGAATTTTTATTTTCCACTGAATTTCCAACTCATTAAAAAGCTGAACTCTGATGAAAATCGAAAATGAACTTGTTTCTTAGAGCACTGCAGCACTAAAAACAAATTTTTGTTTCACGCTCGCATTTATATTTTGTAGGACACGACTCATTCACTACTAGCAATCATTAGATAATGTAAATCTCAAAAATTTCAAAAATGTAACTGTTTTTCAAGACCGATCATCCATAAACTCGTCATCCTTCAGTGATTTCTTATTTTCTTCTTCAGTTATATACGGGGTTTTATAACACAGTTCATCCATGTAGCTAACGTTTCGACAGTTTCATTTTCTTCAGAGCCTGGAATGATTAGGTTGTCCACAATCTAGTCAGCCTTACATCTTTATTACTCTTTTAGAAAAAATCAGTAGACTCACTAATCAGTCGCATCAAGCACTAAATGAACTTCTAGCATACTCACCGCTTTTATAGGCCTTTCAGTGGGTTATTCGAGTGGAGATCAGCGAGCAGAGATCACACAGACTCGCTATGTACCTCCTGCGACAAAGCAATTCTTATATACTAACCCCTGGCACGAGTGATTACGAGGCATTTCTCGCTGCGGTTCATAGCCGGATTTTATATATTAATTTGAAAAGCTTTCAAAATCTACCACGCTAATGTCTTTCTCTCTCTGCGCAAGAATGATGACTTCTACTTCATAAAATATGTCGTTAATTTTCCGCGTCCTATGCGTGACTAGCGGGGTACTAGGTTAAGGTGTTCTCTTATGAGGACACAAAGTGTCCTACCAGTTTAGCCAATGTATTTTTCGCCGCACGCTTTACCGTGATAAACTGTGCCTATGCTCATGCACTCACAGTCTCTAATGTTAAGGCATATCTGGTACTGTTTACTGTACAGAGACGATCTTTTAAACGGTTGCGAACTAATTGGTGCCTCAGAGCCAGAGTACATAAAATTCAGCTATGAGATACATGAAGATAACCGGCTCCATTTCGTGACTGTGCAAATCAGTCTATCCTAAAATGGCTACATTACGAAGTGATACCGAAAGCAGGGTAACAAAAATCCATGGTTCATTACCTCTTCCCTCACCTCTCACATAGAAGGAAGGCGTTAGTAAAAGAACATAGTCAGAGGAGCCTCCGGTGTATGCAATGGAAAGAGAGCGGAGAGTAGATTTCGATCCGTTAATCATCTCTTTTTTCAAATGAGAAAAGTACAGCCATAAAACGTTACCTGAGAGAAGCAGATTTAGAAAAATTGAAAGCAATTATGGAATACACCCGAACACTCTGAGGTGCCAATTAGTTGGCAATTTCCTATACGACCTACAGTGAAACAACACCAAATATGCTCTAACACTAAAGACGGTGATTGCATGAACATAGGTACATTTTACTTAATCACTTGCAAAGCATGCGGGGAAATACACATTGATAAAATAGGTAGGTCAATTGATGTTTGCATAAAAGAACACTTAGATGACAAGCCTCATACTAAATCAAACACCACGCTAGCCACGCATAAGTCACAGAGGAATATCAAAGTAGATTTCAACATAGAAATCACCTCTCTTGTGCATGAACATAAAGCATCAGTTCGAGTGGTTCTGAAGCGTTTTGGATTAATATTAACAATCTAAACATAACTACAAAGAGAAATGTCTTGTAATCACTTGTGATACGAGTCAGTAAATAAGACAGTTGTTTTGATGAGGGAGATACGTTACATGTCTACGTGATCCGTTCCCGGTGGTCCCCATTAGGACTACTCAGTAAAAAACTTATATAAGCGGCGAGTATGTTGAAAGTTGATTTTGTGCTTGAAGCGATTTCCAAGAGAGTAATGGAAGTTTCTAGCTAACTGGATTGCGGACAACCTGATCTTTCCGGTACCTAAAGAAGACGAAACTGTCAAAGTTTAATCGTTCGAATAAATTGTGCTATAATACCTCATGATGAGCTTAAGAAGAAGGTAGGGAATATAATTTTCTTGCAAAGGCTTTTTTACAGCGTTGTCGCAAAAACTTTAGGTGTTCTCATAAGTTTTGGCATGAGAGAAATAAACAGCAAATACATCAAGCAGAAGCATCTAGCTGGACTGTTATCAGTCATTCAATATCCCAAATCTTAACAATTTTGACTCTGAAATCGATTTGCGTAAGGATCACAATAAGCACTGTCAAAGCGAGAAGAAAACCACGTTTTACACTTAACAGAAAACCTCTTTGCTTGAACTTTATAACAAGCTTATTTGGCAAAGTGAAGCAAAAAAGAGGTTCGTACCCATAAGGCGATAGAATACAAGACCCAAAGTTTTCTCCAAAACGGAGGAAAATTTCAAAATGTATAAGAAAATTGTGCGCCAGTTGAATAGAGCGGCCTTTTGAGACGGTAGTTGGAATCGTTGTAAGCAGCATCATTCAGAAGGCGCACGAATTTCGTTACTGAGAAATTTTTCCTTTTTTCTGGAAAACTTTTTATGGGTACAAACCTTTTTCTTGCTTCACTCTGCCAGAAAGGCCCGTTATGAAGTTCATGCGACGAACCATTTACGTCGAATATTAAACGTGGTTTCTCTTCACTATAAGACTGCCCTTTAGAAACGTTCACGGAGGTCAGTTTTAGAGCCATAGATGATAAGTTCTGAGAAATGAAATTATTAACAATTCGGTTAGAAAACCACTGTTTAAAAGAACAGTTTTTGTGTTTATTGCTCTAGTGCCGAAACTTGTGGGAAGACCTAGTAATAAATTTGAGTTTCACACACACGGACAGAGCTCTTCCCTTAGGTCTAGTAACCGTTCAAAAGCGTATATTTCGCCGATCCCATCACTGTGGTTGTTTTTTGAAAAGACCGTTATACTGCACTGTAGCGGGAAGAATAGAACTGATCCTCGAACATTCTGCGCATTGTTATCAGCTAGGGTTTGAGGATCGATGGGAAAGAGCAGGCGCGATTCACACGTGGTGCAATTTCTATTACTGAATTTAGGATTCTTCTCCGTTTTGGAAAAAATTCCAGATAAACAAATGCAAGATTTCCTCCACAGTCATATGCTTTTCGTGCATCCTTAGGCTAATTGGCGGGTTTTATTATATTTGGCAAAATAAGGCAAGTCTGCTCAATAACGCGTGAGGCGTGTAAAACACAATTTTTTGCCTCTACTACAACACTGTATAATAGACCTTTTTGGGAATCAAGTATACTTTTAAAGTCTCCGAGATGTGCGCGATCTAAT